CTAGGCACCCAACACCCTAAAGAGCAAGAGTTCAATCTAAAAGAATGGCACCTTCGAGCTCGAATTAGTCGAGAAAACACGAGTTCGAGGCGGTATTCCGCCTCTTATATTAGAAGTTTTAGAGAGGATTCGAGGACATCGTTCAAGTCCAATTTTACCGTCTCTAGCACTGCCTCCTCCCCCGGCTACAATTTGAAAGGTACATACTAATTAACATTCACGTATGTAACACGTTATTAACATTATAAGTCGTTTATATTCTATTAGTCTAGCACAATATATGTTATTGGACTGTCTTGTTATATGTAATTTTGAATTTGTACACTATACACAGATGAAATCGACCCTTCAACATACTCGTTCACCACAGCTCTCAAAGGTACATTATAGTTAATCTAATAATTTTAATTTAATTTGATTTCCATCACATACATTTACATTTAATTTCAATTTGTACATACTAATTAATTAACGATTTATTTTATTTTATTTTTTTGGTAATAAAAGCGTTACAAGCAAAATCAGGGTGTGTATGGGAATGTTTATCACCAGAAGGATTTGCATTAAACTCAAAATGGAATGATGCAGAGAGGTTTATATGTAATCCATTATCAGGAGAAGTTCCAATGGAGTGTTTATCAGCTAAAACATTAAGCGCGCGGTCGTTTCGGAGCAACATGGCTAGTAGAGTCACCATGTCTGCACCCCTTGTTTATTCTATGCAACCAAGAAGAACAACAAACACCAACCACCACCCTTCTAAACCACCTCCCGTGGCCGTGCCCGCTACTGTCATTAAAGAACAACTTATTAAAATTACATCTCTTAAACAACAAGGTAATTATATATTTCATAATAATAATGTTTGAATTTGGTTTATGTATCCGACCCCACTTATGGAATTTTTAAATTAATTTTAATTTAGTTATGTTTTTGAATTAATAAAGAGGAGAAGAATTTAATGGGAAGTAGAACAAGGGATGTTGGAACACAAAGTACACCTCCAGAGGGGAGTTCAAGTAGTCCAAGTCCAACATCAACTCCTTCGATTAAAGATAGAAAAATGAAGCATTTTGAGGAGACTGAAGATGGAGATCAAGATACTCAGAATTCATGCTCTAGCATTAATAAGTTGAATCCCGTGGAAGAGGTACGTATATATGACAACCCTTGATCGATCAAATATTATTTAAGAAACAGATATAGTAATACGAGTAATCCTGTTTATTTATATTTCATTTTTAGTTGACACGTATAGTATTTTCCTTTTTAATAAGCGTAACATCTATATTTAATAACAATACCACAAGTTTCATCCACAAATAAAATATTAAGGTAATTTACTATAGTACATCAAAGGTGTATATTTTTTTATTTATTTTGAAAAGTATTATAAGGTGATAGTTTGACTTTTGAGAACTTAATTTAACTTCATTTGACATTTGGTGACAAAATAAACAGCTTGCATGTCTAATAATAGTACGGAGTAATAAAATGTTGAGCAATAAAATTATAATATTTCAAATATACACCTCAAACAAAGTGGCATAAATGAAGAGGTAGACAAAGTAAATCACTTGATTATTCTCGCATGCCAGTATGCCAATACTTTGATGGAGAAGTGTCCTTAAATCTTAAGGTGTATTTCTCAAGATAAACAAATTTTAGGGTGCGTGTGTTTCATGATACTGTTGTTCATTGGGACAGTGTTCTTAATAGGATGGGGACCTAATAATGCTTGGTCCCTAGCTACATACTTACTACGGGGCCGAGGGTAACAACAGACATGACGTTTTTAATTATCCCATGCTCGCTGCTAAATTTTATTTGGTTGGTAGGTAAGATGAATGGCTCTGTTCGTTACTATCCCTCATCACGACCTCATAAATTCTCAATGTAAGAGGAGGAATTGATGAGGGATGTAAATGTAAAATTTCATTGGTCAAACTTTTACCGTTAAGTGAAACAAGACTTGATTGTATCTATGATTTTTAATTTGCGGGTTTATGGATAAGAATTGAGGTGCTAGTGCTACATTTATTTCAAATGATCATGTCCGATAGTAAATTTGAAAATTAAAAGAAAGAAAAATCGAAATTTTCTCATCATGTGATGATAAGAAATACTCATTTGAATAAGTGGTTACAATGACTAGAAGTTAAATTTTCTACTGGTACCACACTCTATAATACAGTGGGTATTCTAATTTTCTTGTTGAAAATGGAGGGACCATTTTCTCCAATTTTGAAAAAGATTTGGTAGTAACACCCACAAATATATGATGAGCCTTTAAATTTAAAGAGGATTTCACACTAATTGAAATACTTTCTTTAATTTTTAACTTCGATCTCTAGTAACTTATTACTGAGTGAGTACCATATAACAAAAAGGAAGTGGCTTGATAATTGTAAAGTGAATATCTCTCTCGTCTTTCATCAACATATGAAATATATGATGTTTTATGAGGTCAAAATTTAAGTAAATACTCCGTATATATGATTATTAAAGTTAACGTGCATTACGTATATATTATACTAATAGATGAATAAAAAATGGTTCAAATTTATTAGTAGTACGTATACTTATACTTGGTATTATATTTATGGCTTGTTGCACATCGATCACATGCATGCATGAATGCATGATAGAAATTACACGTAAATAGTATCTCTAAAGCACTTTCATAATTCATGTGTTCCTTTCTCTAATTCAATTATCATAGGCTACTTTTACGAAACATTCGAATGAATAATCTTAAAAGAATATACATATTTAATGTTACATTTTTACTATATTTGTTTGTAACAACATTAAAAAGCCTGTAACGTATGAAAAATGTACAGAAAAAGTAAAAGCACGTAACTAATTTTTTTTTTTTTTTTTACTGTACTATTGAAGTGCACGATGCAGGTGGAAGTGAAAGTAACAAGAGAGGGAGAAGAAACAAAAAGAAGAACAAAAAAAAGCGGGCAATTAAAGAGGAAGAATTCAAAAAAGAAGAGTGAAAAAGGGCATAAATTATGCTATTATTGCTGCCCTTTTAATGGATGTTTACAATTTTCATCATCATGGACCTGCTTTTGGATCAATAATAAGAGAAGAGAGAGACAAATTCAAGCTTCAATTAATTAATTTCTTTATTTGAATATATAAATCATGTCTTATTTTGTGGTAAGACCAAAACTAGCCTGAGTTCGAGCTACATTGTATATTACGTATTCAAATGGATCCACTTGGTTACTTGTAACGAGTTAAATTTCCCAAATCCCTATTTGGATCTCGATAATAAAAAAATAAATAATAAGATTAATTTATATGATACTAAGTATTAATTGTTTAATTTTTTATATATACATGCTTAAATTATTTCTTAACTCTGATCGAAAGACTAATAAAATCGTGTTTTATTCACTTGATTTTCAATTACTAGATCAAACTTTTTTTTTTATATTAAACCTGAAATGTTTTATTACGTATAAAACCTTTTTTCGCCTTGAAATAAGTGGAATATATATAAATCAGGCCAAAAGATTCCTACAGGAAATTAATGAATGTAATATACAGAGTAGTAATATAACATTATTTTTTCAATGATTTTTGAGGATGAGAAAGTTTGGTAAGTTGGTCAGAAAAAATGGAGCAAGAAAAAGGAAAGAAAGCATAAAAATAAATAATTAGGATTTATATGAGTGTATGTCTATTGTAACGAAAGATGTAACACTTTTTGTTGTTTACTAAGTTGGAATATACTCATATACTATTATTTGAGGTCTTCACGTGCTTCACTGTTACATTTGATGTAGAGACTAGTGATTGCAAAAAGATGTTATGCTTGCTTCATCAAATATTCTTATGGTTATGATTTTATGGATTTATTATTATATTATAAGCCTATGTTTTTGTATTTGTCTTGTTTTAGGTCATACTTATTGTTGATTGATCCCTATAAATGTATGCCTTTTAACAGCTTTAGGTTTATTTTAGCACTAGTTGATGGTGCTACTTTTTGTATCATCAAAAGGAAGGACATGAATTGCTACTTCTATGTTAGCCAATTTGTCATGTAGGTATTGTTTTGGGACCAAGTTTGTCTACTTGTTTTAGTGGAGAATCTATTTTCTACTCTTAGCCACCTAGAAGATCCGAGTGGACTTGCTTGTGACTCGCAACGGGGGTTGATTATGATCGTATTCGATTAGTACTCATTTTGCTTACGTGTGTGTTGATCGAGCTAATTAATATTATAAATTCTAGTGTGGAAACAATGAAGGTTTAAGGTATGATGACCATTTTCCTAAACTACGTCGAATATTTTGTTTACAATAACTCACTTCAAAACAACACATAGTTATTATTCTAGTTCATGCTACAATAAATATTGGATTGAAAAACCCCTATGGTAATTAAATTTGGGCTTATTGAAAACCTTGATGAATACATAATGTAGCCATTTACAATGAAGTGACTATAATAAATATAAACCTATAAAAGTATAAAATGGTAATGGACAATACAAAGGTAACCCAACTTAAGACAAAATATTGATTGGCTTTAAGACTTGCATAAACAAACCCATATTCAAGATTTGGTTTAAGGGCCTGTTCTCAAACATTTATTTTTAGTTCGGTTCAGTTCAATTCAGTTCAGTTCAGTTCAACTCCTAATTTCCTTCTCTTATAAAATATTCATTTCACTTCAGTTCAGTTCAGTTCAGCTGATTTCAGTCTATTAGAACATGCCCTAAATATGAAGAGACTCTCTATTTCAATCAGCTAAAGATGGCTCTAGGTTATATCATGCGTAAATGCATTAGAGTTGGCTAGATGTTCACTAGCCTACATGATGTATTGTCTTTCAAATGACAACCCAAGCTCACATAACCATCGTATCAGTTCATGTCAAGCTTATGTGCCTCGATCAACTTCCATTTATATCATGGTCATGCCTTATTGTACTTCTCCAACAGTAATACGGTCTAGACACTTACGCAGTAGGCACGATCTACTACTATGTTTGGACCTCATACCCATAGCTCACTGGACTTCCCCAACTTCCAAACTCATAACAAAATGGACTGAAAAGGCCCATTTTTTTTTAAAAAAAAAACTAAAAAATTAAAATAAAAAATGAGTAGAATTCCAAGTGACAAGTAATCACATATTGGCGGTTGAGAGCCGTTAGTTATTTATTTTCTCTCTCCTCATCTTACAACACATCTTCAACACAAACTCTGTTACTCTAAAAAAACCCAGAATTTACGCATCAAAATGCCTCTAAGAGCAGCATCAATGGCGGCTGCTCCGCTCTACGTTCACCGGAGCAATTTTCTCTCTCCTAGTCAGCATCATCAGCTTCCGCCTCTTTCTTCATCTACTCTCTTACTCAAAGGTAGACTCAATTCCGACTCTAAACGACGCCGTTTTGTCCTCGTTGCTCAAGCCGTTGATTCTTCGTCTACTTCTTCTTCTCCGCCATCCACCGCCTCCGCCGCCGCCGCCGACAAATCAATCGTTTCTGATGATCAATTATCTCTCTCCAAGGTTTTATTTTCGTATTTTAATTGTTTATATATTTCTAATTTATTTAACCTAATTTGTTGTTGTATTTGAATTTAATGTGTTTGGATTCTTGAAATTTTGATGTATTAGTGATAATTTGGATACTTCTTGTTTTATTTAATAAATAACAAATGAATTAGGGTTAAATTGTTTGATTATTCCCATTTTAAATGATAATCTTTCTAATTTTGTAATGCAATGCTAATTTATGCTAGTTGAATTACTTATAGCTTGGTTAGTTTGATTATTGAGAGTGATTAAAGGAGGAATTATTATATAAATTAAGAGTTAAATTGTGGATAAGTGGAGACGTTTCTATTACTAGGAAAATTCAATTGTGAATCACTGTGATATATTTGGTGCTGCTTGTGTTTACTTAAAATTACTCGAGTAATCGAGTTCATCGTTGATCTTATTGGAGTGTTAGGTTGATCCTATGATGTAGGAACGAATGAAATGGAATCAAATGAGAGAGGGAAAGCGTAATGATGACTACTACATTAATGGATTGTTTGAGTTCTACCATGTACCCTTTTAGAGGATGTTCTCTACATAATCTAAATGGCATTGCCCTTTACTTTTCAGATTTCCTTTGGTGTCGTGGGACTTGGAAGTGGAGTCACATTACTAGCGTGAGCGCTTTGGAGGCCGAATATATATTTAAGTTCTGTCCTAGCATAATGATTTATAGTTTCTTAGCATGTTTTCTTTGTGCAGGTATGGTTTTGGTGCCTACTTTAATATTCTTCCGGGATCAGAATGGTCGGCGTTAATGTTGACTTATGGTTTCCCTGTTGCAGTTATTGGCATGGCTCTCAAGGTGAAATATACTGCCTAACTCAGCTACTCTTATTGGATAACTGCTATATTATGGACTTCCATACCAAAACATATTGATAAGTTGCCAAGGGAGTAGATAATGTGATTGATATCTAGCATTGCGCTGTAGTTACATCAGTAGAGTTGCAAGTTTTGAATGTTTCAGTGGACCATTTGACATATTATCTTTACTCGGCCCCTAACTAGCTTGGGAAATCATGTGTATGCTCTATTTTTTAATCGTGATATTTGTCATTCACTTCTTGCAGTATGCAGAACTTAAACCTGTGCCTTGTGTGACTTATTCTGATGCTGAAATGGTGCGGGAAAAGTGTGCCACTCCAGTTCTTAAGCAGGTTAGTTTCAGCTGAGTGGAAACTTAAACCATAGCTGCAGTTTTCATATGCAATTTTTATCCACCATGTGATGTGACAACCAATTTATCTGCTCTTCCCTGAGTGATATTGGATGAACTGACCCTTCCAAAATATTATAGGTAAAGACAGATGTTACCAGATTTCGGTATGGGGATGAACAACACCTTGATGAAGCGTTGAAACGGATTTTCCAATATGGCCAGGTGTGCTTTCTGACTTATCCCTTGACCTAACTTTCTTTTCCCTTCATTCCTGTCCGTGACATGCTGACAAAATACTATATCTGACCTTGTGAATATGAGGGGAAAAAAAACACCAAGACTGTCTCAAGCAGTCTTACGCTCAGTTGATTTGTGCAACCAAAGACTAGTCTGTATTGTTCATAAAATTTAGAGATCTTCAATCTGATGATTACCATATTAGCAAGTTCAAGCAAAAAGCAGTTAAAGCCTTAATGACAGCTTTTGAAACAAGAAAATTGACATTACTAACAAAGCTTTCCAGACCAATGAATATGGTTGAAGGGATGCTATCAGAGTCTCCAAGTAAGGACATTGATTTAGAGATTGCTGAGTTGTGATTTAAGCGGATATGATCAGAAAACTCCAATTGTAACCTGTAAGGACATTATTTAAGGTGCAATCATCAGCTTATCCTTATCTGGATAAACTGATCTTCAGAAATTTTTTCTATCCTCTTCATCCATTTACAACCTTATAGAGGGTTTGGCTACAAATCCATTTGTGCCATTTGATACTTTATTCAGTCACTAAAAAAATAGTGTCAGACATGTCAATCTCTTACCAGTTACCACATATTAAAGTATTACTTATGTAGCTCTGTCTCCGACATTCCTACTGCATGCCTGCATCCAACTTCTATCATATTGGTCAATGGTTTTAAACATGACCCTGAAAAAGTTGCCCTCTTGACTTTTTGGGGGAATTCTGCTGGGTTGCATTTGGAGTTTTGGACCTAGCTGAAATTATGAGCTTTAGGTATGGGAAGTCAAAGAGGGAACTCTTCACAAGATACCATCTATCTGCCAGAACTTGCTTCACTCTCCATTCTGCCTAAGTGCAATAGTATCTTTCAGTTCTCTAGGACTTTAATGTTTTATTTTATTGCAGTCAATTTAATATGAGAGGCTAGAACAGATGGAAAAATTTTAGCACTGAAATTCATTCTGAAAACCAATACACATTCTTTTTTTTTTTCCCTTCCTTCTTGTTTCTTCGGCCCATAGTTCATTTCCTACCCAATAAGCAGTGGTCTCTCCTCCTCACACATACCCCACACCTCTCTGCCACCCACACAACAAATAAAAAATTTAGCACCATCAATTTTTCGTTGAAACTGAAGCTTTAATTATATAGACCATCACCTCCATAATTGATGTTTTGGATGAATAGGCCAACATGTTAATATACAAACATCTGCTTTATTGACCTCAAACTGTGTCAACCTGATTATGTAATATAACTATTGATTTAGCATTCCAATTCAGTGGAGAGCTTACAAATTGGAACTTCACGTCACCATATGATCTGTGACTTTGTTTTTTGTTTTTTCCCATTTAGGGTGGTGGTATAGCAAGAAGAAGTGCCCCTGTCCTTCAAATGATACGTGAAGAGGTATGCTTGCCTCCCATAGCCCTTATCATGAGGAATTTCTAATGATTGGATGTCTTCTAGTGTTTATTTTGAATTTTCTTACTGTAATTCAGCTATGTGTGTAATTTCCTTCGTTGAATGAATTCATCTTCACTGCTATGTTCCTTGTATAATAATAAAGTGACACGATGGCTTTTTGGGGTAGTTTGTCATACTATAGGGTTGTATTCACCTATTAGTGGATCCTACATGGATTCTAGTTGTAGTCATTTTACTAATTTTTGGCTACTTATTCTAATTATTCTAGGTGACTGAAGATGGCAAATACTGCTTAGTTTTGGCGTTTAAGGCAAAAGATCTGCAACTTTCAGATTTTGAACGAAGACAGGTAACAAACCTTTCAACTCTTTCAGCACATGAAGTTTCTGCTTGAAACTGGCAATCATGTGACAATGAGTTTCTATCTTCTTGCATCACGCTCCAAACCCATTATACTGCAAACCTCATGGGCATATTATGGACTAACTCTTGCTTTTATTTCTTAGGCAAAATTTGCTTCATTCTTTGGACCAGGGATCACTGCTGAAGTTGGTAAGTGATTTGAATCTTCCACCCTTTCTAGTCCAATTTGGAAATCAAATTGAATTGTACCTTATCTTTCGCTCATTAAAATTCAAAAATGAAGTCTCTGGACTCACAAAGATTGTGCAAGATTTTGGTTTTGGCCTTTTAAAGAAAACTGATTGTCACAGAGGTCTAAAATCTTGTTCCCAAAATCTGATGTATGTTTATTTGCTCTGAAATAAGCCTAATAAAACACCGAAAGACCTAACATTAGGATTAAACTTCAATAGTGCCAGTATCTTAATCCAAGTAAATACTTGAACAAAAGCTGGATGGAATACACTGAAGTATATTGTCCCTCGCTCACTAAAAACAAAAATAACAAACTAAAGTAAATCCTAATACAAATTTGTAAAGCTTGAAATATTAAGTCTTTAATGCTAACAATATCAGTAGTAACTAAACTAAAGTGTGTTAAAATAGGTTCAAACATATCAGAACCAAGTCCCTGGGTCTGACCATATGTCTTTACTGTTTTATTACAGTTCTAAGGAACAAACCCTAATGAAGAACTTGTTCCCCGTATCAATAAGATTGAATTTCCTCTAAATTAATCTGAAAAACAGTAAAGTATTCTGTGATTTCTGTCCCATACACACCCTAACAGAATTAACCAACTAAAGTAAATCTGATTACAAATTTGTAAGGTGTAATCATCTCCATTAAATGCTAAGTGCTAACAATGGTAGTAACTAAAGTAACCAGGTTTAACCATATGTTGGATCCAAGCCCCTGTGTCTGACCATATGTCAACTAAGTCATACTAGAACCAGACCCAACCATTAATTATTATCATTGTCGGCACTATATGTATAAGTCCTAATGAAGAATCTTGTGTTCCTGTGATCCTGTATTAAGTAAGATCTGACTTCCTCTAAAATACTTCAGATTGTGCCCAAATTTTTTTGACATGTTACATGTACAATGCTTCTGTCAAAAACAAGGCTTGCGCTGGTTCTATAGAAACCCTGTATAATGACGTGCTGATTTTTCTTCGCTTACAGGTAAAGGAGCGGATGATCTCTACGAAGTTCGTCTCATATCTAATACACAAGCATAAAGGAGTAACCAACAGTTAAGGAACTAGTTCTTCTAGCAGCCTGATTATGAGCCTTGTAAGAATTTTGTATAGTTTGTATACATACCAGATATACTAGCATGTTAATAAACCTGCAGATTATATAATTAATGTTTCATTTATCTATGATATGGTCATTGAGTTCGCCATATACTCATGTGTGTTTATAAAATTGTATTACAAGTCTTCAATTAAAACCTACTCTGCAATTAGTATGATTTGTTACATATAAGCACGCGTACAACAGCAAAACATTCTATAGTAAATGACATGTATTGCTTTTTAACAGTTATAGCAAGTGTCATGTATGATGTATCGTTGTGCCTAGGTACCACTAATGATTCTAATTTATTATGCTATGAATTTCGTTAGTTCATTTTATTTATTTCATGTTCTCTTAGCAAACTAATATTGAACACTATCCATGGTGTTATTATCTGAACAGATTGTTATCATGTTTGATAATGATCTAGGACTCTAGGTACATAAATCAGAGAGATTTTATACGTATCAAAAGGATGGGTTGTGAGTTTTTTTTTTTTTTTTTTTTTTTTTTTATAATTACAATAATGCAACTATAAATACCTTTTTGTTTAAGAAATGCCACTGTAAATTGAATATGTTTTATTTATTTATTTTTATTTTTTTTACAATAGCAAAGCTGTAAATTGATTATGAAGTAGTTTGTTAAAAGGCCTTAAGAATTTTAGAGTAGATAAGTAGATTTGTCAAAAAGAAAAGAAAAAAAAATCAAAAATATATCAAAAAGGATATCAAAACAGGATCAAACTGGATTTTCCATTAATTATGTCTACAAAATGCATTATTATCTTCCTCAAAAAGAAAATATATGTATTAAACCCTATTCCCTACTATGAGTCAGCATTTAGATGAAAGAATATTAAATAAGATTTTGTAAAATTAAACATGAGGTGTAATTTTAATTTATTTTTATTTTTGTTATTAAAAAAATAGTATTATAAATCTTAATGGATGTTTTTGCTAATCCCAAGGCCCATGCCCTTCCAAATTGTTTGTAATAACATTTTTTGTCTGACTCAGACAAATCTCAGAATTTTTTTTTGTAAGGATCACAATTCTAAGGATTACAATATTCTTCTATATTCACTTGGTATTATGATTTCTTACCTTAATTAATAATCTGAAGTATACCCATTTTGGACTATAAATTATCACTGATTCTTATTTTCATTTTCACCAAAATATAATTATCATCCAAAACATTATCATAAACACATTTTATTTTTTCAAGTTGTTCACTGGGAAGGAATCCATCCATTTGTTTAAGGAGAGGTTAGTGCTTGTTTAATTATAATTTGATTGTATGATGTTTAATCCTAAAAACAATTTGGGAATTTGTTATTAAATTCTTTTATGAAATCACTTCAATTTTTTTTGCACATTGTTTTAAAGCATAAGAATTTTCTCTCTCAGATTACAATTTACGGCGCTCTAGGAGTAAAAACATAGTACGAGTAATTGTCATGGAGTAATTTTTTTGTTGTTGTTATACGGAATAATAGCGTTGTTAATTAATTTTTACTGTCTTAGATAAGCAGAGTAAGAAGTTTGGTTGATTAAATTTTAATGAATGTTAAAATCAGTACTAATGTTAAGTAGTTTCAAGCAGTGTTAGTTTTAGGAAAAGTACTCTTGACAATATGGATAAGTGAATAAAAAAAACATGGGAATTAATTTTGAAATTATCATTTGAGTATCTCTTCTAATCAGGTGATAAGTCTGATTACTCATTGGTTATTGTTTATAGTTTATTACTCATTTTATTTTATTGATAGTTGATATATGTTAATAATTTTGTGAAACTCTTAGGATCTTTGTCTGATAATAACTTTTTTTTTTTTTTGAAAGAAGTCTGATAATAACTTAATAAAACAAAAAACATGCTTTTGATTTTATTTTAATCAATCAAATTAAAGGATACTCTCTTACTTGTGTTGTTTTCTGGTATATGTAATGGTAGTCATCAAGATTTTATTTATCCTTCGAAAAGCCAGCAAAATCTATTAGTTTAAATAGAAAACATTATTATGATTCTTATGAATGAGGTAATCAATTAATTATTAGGCTAGTATTCAAAGAATGTACATGACACAATTACTTTAAGTGATTAGAGCCTTATAATAATTAATCATGGGAAATATAAAAAATTATATACTTTCTAATGTATCGAAATTAAACTTTTGCATCGAGATGGATTAGATGGTATTGTGCACCCGAGTACACCTTCTAACGATTGAATATATAAGGCAAATATCGAAAATTATATATCTTAATTTGTTAATAATTTATCGTAACTTTAAACATTATTGTTCAAAAAATTATTATCAGATGGAAAATTCGAGCTCTTTATGGACATGGGAACAAGACAAGGCATTTGAGACAGCTTTAGCAATGCATTTTGAGGATTATTCTGAAGCTAAATGGGCGAAAATTGCATCACAAATCCCAGGAAACAAAACCATTGAAGATGTCAAGCAACACTATCATGTGTTATTTGAAGATATCATGGCAATTGAATCAGGCATGGTCCCTATACCATCATACACCCCTAGTGGCAGAGCTCATAATTTCGAGGTCCCTGTGACTGAAGAGGAATACACGTGGGAGTCGCGTAAAGGGCAGCCGTGGTCAGAGGCTGAGCACCGCCAATTCCTGTTAGGATTGGACAGGTATGGCAAGGGAGATTGGAAAAGCATATCCAAGGAGTTTGTTAAGACAAGGTCAGCTACTCAAGTTGCAAGTCATGCACAAAAGTACTTTAAGAGGCAGGCTAATAAGCTGAAGAAAGACACCAAAAGATGGAGTATTTTCGACATTACTGCTCCTAATAAGGCTCACCCAGGCATACAAAATTACAGTTGTAGTAGCAGTGGCAGTGGCAGTGGCAGTAGCAATTATGAATATGCTCCTAAGGGAAATGAAATGAACTCTGCCATCAACCAGGCAATGTTTCAGGAGGGTTTCGTCGAGGTGCAGCCCATGCAGCAACAAGTTCCGGTGGTTGTACCACAGGAATATATGTCACCCCCCGAAAGCTGGTGTCTCGAGGATGAACTGGCTGCAGATTTTAATGTTAATGAGTGTTCGTCGCAACTTCCACCCCTGTGAATTTGTTAGTACCTTAGTTCAAAGTATTAAGCAGGGGAAATTGGTAGTTCAAAGTATTAAGCAGGGGAAATTGGTAGTTTAAAGTATTAAGCAGGGGAAATTGGTAGTTCAAAGTATTAAAGTATGTGGGTATGAACAGAATATGTAGCTTCTTTGAGTTTATGCTTCTAGATTATTGAGCACATTTTCTTTTAGCAAAAATGTAAATGTAAGTAGAAGAAATATCAAAGGGAGCTATTGGTTTTATGTTGCCAGAATTCAGTTTGTGCATGATTGTTAAATTGAATTGGGATTAATATGTTTAATTGGGCATATTTAATCTATAGAATGGTTACAGGATAAGTAGTAGCTTGTTCAAATCAATGCAGCCGACGAAAGGGTGAAGTGAGTTACAGACGGAAGTGTGAACTTAGTAAGACATGTCCAATTGACCCCAACTTAAAAGTTTATCTAGCAACTTACAAGTTTATTTACAGGAAAAAGACTAGAAACTTAAGCACACAATACTGTAAAATATCCTGCCTCAACTGAAAGCCGTAATCTCTTTGCTGGATATTTGAAGACTGAAAAATAAAGCAATGGTCTATTCTCAAGATCAGACTTTTAGAACTTGTTGGTAATCAAAAACTATACTTCGTATCATGTTTGCTTTCAGACATCTGAGTTGGTGATTATGAGAAGTGGCTTACCAGCTGCTCAGTGTGATAAGCACGCTGACAGCTGAAAACAGAAAAATCAAGCAGTATGAACTATGAAGTATTTCATAATGGAGTAATAACTTACAAACTATATACTCGTATGTAATGTTTGGTAGCAACTAGCAAGACATGATAACAAAGGAGATATATTGAAACATCTGAAAGTTGATTCATGTTACGAGTTTTGGAAGCAATTACATACAAATAGTTGGAAAATCTTCCTGCCCAACTAGGGTTCTTAGCCTCACAAAAGCCTACACTAAAAATGGCTGTGCTATTTTGCTACAAGCATATATGAAGTCTAACAAAGTCCTAAAACTGTACTACTCTAGCATTGAGACTAAGAAAGCAAGAATCAAAATAACAAATCTTTTAGAATCATCTCAGGATATCATCTTTGATCAGCTATCAAGACTAAGAAGCAAAATAATGTCTTCCAGAATCATCCCAGGATCATCTTTGATAAGCTATCGAGACTAAGAAGCAAAATAACAAGTCTTCCAGAATCATCCCAGGATCATCTTTGATAAGCTATCGAGACTAAGAAGCAAAATAAGAAGTCTTCCAGAATCATCCCAGGATCATCTTTGATAAGCTATCGAGACTAAGAAGCAAAATAATAACTCTTCCAGAATCATCCCAGTATCATCTTTGATAAGCTATCGAGACTAAGAAGCAAATAACAAGTCTTCCAGAATCATCTTTGATCAACTACCTGCTGAGTCACTGACAAGCAAACATACCAAAATAGTTCATCAACTTTCCATATCCAAGAGACCAAGACTAGCTCAATCTTTTCATCACTAAAGCGCAGCATTTAAGAAAATGAATGTAGAAATTTTATAGAAAGTGGGATCCTTTGCATATAACAGAAGGTCCTGTACTCCGGTTACAAGGAAAAATGAGTATATTATTGTTATTCGTAACTCCTAACTTATTGAAATAAGAGGATAATCCAGCAACTGAAGATTTTCATGCATCTTGTATGATATACACTTTAGCTAAAGTTGTTCAATGCGGTTTGCAAACATGATCAAAATTAAGCCTTTTTTTCTGTAGGTAGGGTTAAGAAATAGTTTTCAAGGCAGAGACCATGAAGGAGCATACAGAAGAGTAGAAGACCATTAGTGTAAGATTGAATAATACAATTAACAATGCACAAAAGAATGCATCAAGTAAGAATTCATACCAGGTGGAGTATCATCATTGGAACTTGATTCTACTTCAATTTCAGAATCACTCTTCACCCTTGTTTTATCAACAAGCTTAACGCGCTTGTATCTATTAAGTCTGCAATCACATTAGATAAGATCATGAAATTAATCTGCTGTTTGTAAACGAGCATCATCCAAAACTATCCGCACAAAATTAAGGTAAACCATAAATGATGAAAAATTAAGCTTCGACAATCAGAATATACAAGTTTGAAGGTTGAACACATGTACATACCTTTTGTGATCATGAACTATGGAATACTCAATTATTTGACTGGCTGACAGCCAATTGGTTTGAAGTTTTGAGCACTTACAAGGATTTTTTTTTACAAAAATATCAATTGTAGACAACTATCTAACAGTACAAACATGAAACAAGTATTTATATCATAAAAAGGAAGCAGATTGTTGAATTCACATTTAACCTACTTTTATTAATGGAGCAGCAATTTGTTTATCTATTCTTACCATTTACATATAGGCTACCAAATTTTCACACAGAAGTTGCTTAACATACAATAGAAATGCTTAGATGTAGAGGGAATATTTATTTCAGACAATAAATGCTCTAATTGCAACACTTACACTGAAACCTCCTAGGAGGTAAAACATATTAACAACCATTAGTTATTAAAATAAACTTCATTCACCTCGAATGCTTATGTGGAAGGCAAGATAAAAGAATACTTAGGGTCAAGCGTTAACTTAGTTTAATTGTAAATATGTTGAAATTCATTTGACATATCAAGCAATAAACTATGATTTACCTTATAGAAGAAATATATTTTTCAACGAGCTCTATCTCTTCAGCATTATAACTAAACCACTTGTCTTTGAAGTCGATTTGTTCTGGACTTCCCACTTCTGTAAATTTGAAGAGCTAAACAGTCAGTATTCTGAACAAAGGACTCAGATCAAGATTTAAACGAATCATATGCAATAATTCAAACGACAGCAGAAATATACAGTGGAAATAAAGTTTACAGTTTTACAACTGACCTTGAAGAAGTAAGTTTGAATCACCATAACATGTAAGCCTCCAAAAAGCATGGCCACTGTCATCTAAAAAGACTGAATCTGTCCTTACAGCATCTGATCTTCGTCTCTCTGTAAAATATTGTCAACAGATGAGATATCGGATATCAAACAGTTCACACATATCCCATAATTTGGCAATTCAGAAAACAAAGGCTATCAAATACTTTGTATATGCATTCATACTTACTGTGCAACTAGATTTGGCATCTGGTTATCTAATTTTCAATGCAGAGGTGAGGTGATGGGGATTATCAAGGTATATATTAGGAACTATATATCAGACAAAAGAATTATGCAAACAAGGCAACCAGCTTTTTTAGCCAAGTGTATTAATGGAGTAGATAGTAAAAAAAAAGAAATAAATAAAACTAAATAAATATTGACCATTGTTTAAAATTACAATCCCACGACTGTTAGAGTAATTTTTTCAAAAAAACTAAGATTCCACATGAAGACATCATCCATCCATTGCAATAGCTAAGCTGAAGTCGGTACAACAGCTGAAATACATACCATCTGTTTGAAGCCTTATGTATGTATTACTCACCAAGTCATTTAAACACAAATAGCTTTGAAATGAAGTGTAATGAACAAGATAAATGATAAAAAAAAAACGTGCTGAAACTTTATAGGAAACTATAATAAATATGACATAATTAGAGATCAATGCATTAATGTGGATTGTATCTCCATCACAATATGATTTACTAGTGTGCAAAACCATTGGAAAGACATGTGACGTTCCCTGAACTTATGTCCAACCATAAAATCCATGGCAGATTAATTCAAGAAAAAGCTAGACTAATTGAAGCCAAGCAAAGTCATACTTTTAGGCATTGAGTCCATGGCTTCCAGCAACTCTGCACGTGCAAGCTCAGTTTCTTCTTTTATCTTTGAAATGATAGTATCATGTTCAGAGATAGTAAGAGGTACACCATTTTTTGCAAGCACTGCTGTAGCAATTTTCTCCTGCAGCTTGCGCTTTGCCTCCCTTTCCTGCATAAGTTACAGAGCTTAAATAAAACACCTAGCTCAGCACCTATTATCATAAAGTTGCTGAATACAATACCTTTTCCCTAGCTGCATTTATACTTTCTTTTGCTTCCTTCTCTCTTTCAACAAACTTCATCTTTTGTTCATCTATCCAAGTCCTCATTTTTCTAGAAAGGTGAAGACATATTAGCTGTCACTCTTCTCTTCTGGAAGTATGAAATGATAAATCATATGCTCCACTTACTTGGTAGAAAGTGACTCATCACAAAGAAAAGTTAGAAGTCTGAGTTTTTGTGAGGATTCCAACATCTCATACCCATCACATCCTTTGTCCAAGCAATCCTCAGGGAAGTCCTCCAATTCAAGCTCAGATTCAGAGAGGCATCTTTTTAGGGAATGTATCCAAGAATCTTTGTCATTACCAGGGCTTAAGGAAAGAGATCTGAAAAGGTTACAAGGACAATACATTACCATGATGATAGAATTAATTTAACAAGCATCAATACTGGAAAGAGAAGTTCTTACTCTTCGTCTTCCTCTTCCTCTTTCTCTTCATCCATTTCCTCCAGAACAAAAGACGATAACTGGATAAGAAACTGGACAGTAGAAGAGCATTTTCCCTTGCGCCTACTCCGTCCGCACACTATATCTCTCAGTACAGATTCAGGATGTCCTTTCCTAATGTTCAGAACCTAGGCAATAAGATAAGTTAAGTATAAAAGAAAAAAAAAAAGGCACTAAACCTTGTCCACCATTACTAGTCAGTTGCCACTGTACACGTGAAGCGGAAAACCACCATATATATCATTGAATCCAAGTAATCAAACACAGACATCACCCACATAAAACAGCTATGAAATAAACATACACGCTGAGGAGGAGAAACAAAGATGAATAACCAAAAACAAAGCACAAGTACAACTAAAAGCAATGTTGGCTTATGTAAACTGTACAGTAAATAACAGCTTGTCCAGATCACAAATGCAGCTATACTGCGTAACACCTCATACTCTAAGATCAAAACCTTAGTAGCTCTGATCTAAGGACTTAAATCCACATCCATGAGTCAACGAAGTTGAGCAATAAAGTTGAAAAATATACCCTTAACCAAGAAATATAGTTTTTCTAATAATAAATTAATAAGAAAGATATTTCAATATATTACCTCACCAAAAGAAGAGCAGAATTCCAAAAATTGCAAAGCATGTCCAGCATCATCAGGAAGCAAGTCAATCCCAGCCACATTGGTCAACAAGCTGCCTGGGGGAAGTGGGGGCAAGATAACTTCCACAGCAATATGATCAGTATCTGTTTCTTTCTGGCGTTTGCGAGACTTCACCTTTGGCTCTGCTTGATCTTTGGCCTTTTTAACTTTCATTGTTTCTTTCTTACAAGTATTATCACTCATCTTCTCATCTGTTTTAGTAACTTCCTGAGGGGCATTGAATTTCCTAGGACTTCTTCTCACATTATGCTTGTCATCATTACCATCCATCTCTTCCTTTTTGATGACTTGTTGGGGGATGTTGAATTTTCTCGGACTTCTTCTTAGGGCAATATCAGTAGTTTTTCTGGGGCTACTCACAGCACCATTATCTTCAGCAACTTCAACCCTCTCCTTGAGCCCTTCCACCACTCCCTCCTGCTTGGCTTTTTTTGCCTTCTTATCATTAGGACTTGAGGGTGGAGATTGAGAATTTAAGGTTGTAGTACACGATCCATCAAAAGAATTTTCCTTCCCTTGTTTCGTCCCCTGCCAACAATATTATATTCACAGCAATCCCCGACAAGTTAGTGACCACAACAATAGTCCAATTTCAATAAAAACTATAGAATGCCATAAGATACATCACATCCACCTCAGTTGAAGCTGCTGATTTCTTAGAGGAAGTTGCCTTGCATTTGACAATCCGCTCCTGACACACATCATGACCCTTGACAATCAATAACTCTGAAACTGAGGAAAACCCAGTTGCTTTTGCTGTATGGGCAAGAATACCAGTGGGCTTGTGGCCTTTTTTCTTCCTGTCATAGAAATTGCAACATTAAAATTTCACATTCAGATCTGGATATGTCTAACACCACCTTGGGCAAGAATTTACCTAGAAGCTTAAAACAATGTTGACACAAATAAATATATATAAGCAAAATATACCCAAGGGATCAAAGTTGGTGAGAAAATTACCTGCAAAAACTGCAGTTACATATATCTCTGCACTTAGGACAATTCCAGTTATCAAGAGTTGCCATCTCTTCTGCATTCTCTCCATACCTAAGATGACAACACAAAAAAAAATAAAAACAATATTGATACCAACACAATATAACATTTATGGTTACATTAGATCCTCTTGTAGTAAACTAAAAATTCCTTTCATCTCCGTAACATACCTATTCAGGAGGCACTTGTGGCAGAACTTGACTGGACATTGCTTATCTCCCTTCATGTTCTTGCATCCTGCAGTGAAGTCCATTGTTTTTTGACGGCACTATAGAAACATTTTGTCAATTCATTAGAACAAATACAGCCAAAAGAAAGCCAATTGTGTAAACTACTTCAATTCTAATGATTTACATTATCAGATTATCAGTTATATTTGATAAACACGTATAACCTCTCCAACAAGTCCTACACGTTACTTAAATGGCAACACTAAAAATTCAGGCATGCCATCTGAGAAGAAAATAACACTTCAAAATCTGCAACAAACATGATCATTTCTTACATTAAACTTACAGAAATTATACCATTCTTGTAATATGGCACCATAGTTGCCAACTTTCCATCTAGTTCTCTCATAAACGCGTATGTTATTATCCTCGGCGACAAAAGTTAATAATATACTGATGCATTATTAATCAACCTCTACTATTCAATCAAGGCAATCTACACATTTCAGCAGCATGAAAGCCTTGAAAACCTAAATTATACAAAGTACTCCGCAATATACCTCATACTAACTATTAAGCTTAAATCATATGAATATAAATTATACCATTCTATACAAAGTACAAAGTGTAGAGAACTCGAGCGCACGACTTTCAAAGTACTAGGGCTAACACCTAATCCAAAATTATAGTTCTAAGATCACCAATTCATGAAATGTACATTGTAACTTCGACCATTAAGACCCAACAAACACATAACAAAAACACACGAATAACTGAATACCCGACAAAACTAAACTATACCGTACTATAAATTTAGGGTATATTCGCTCTAATTATCACCAATTTATACAATATAAACAAGTGCAACCCCAAAATATTCAACCCATTTCCCCCCTTAAACCCTAACAAAAATTATCTATCACAAGTATTTATCATCGCAAAAATTAACAGCATTAACATGATACAAAATCAAATCTAGGGTTTATCTGCAATCAATTCAAAAACCCACAAAAACAAGATTTACCCAGAAAAATTTGAAACCTAAGAAATGATAAAAACCCATTAAAATTAAAAAAGAGGGGAATTATATACATATATACCTGATGACAGGTCTTGCCATTTTGAGAATCATAAATTCTACCACCAACAACTCGAACACCAGGATCTTTACTACGCTTAGGTTGATTCAGATCTTCAGCTTTCTGGGTCTCCATTGTCGTCTCCACTACTTGATTGTTGACGACCTTCGTCTTCTCCTCTTTCTTCTTCTTCTTCTCAGAAGCAGCAGCAGCAGCTACAGGACTAGAAGGTACCGCCATTAAAATCCCTCTGCAAAAAGCTAAGTGGGGTTGTAGGAGAGAAAGTTGAGGAGAGAGAATGATTCAGAAAGAAGATGAAATGGGGTTTTGGAGAAATGTGTTGTATTAATTGCAGAGAAATTGGATTTAAAGGCGGGACATTTTTCGAAGTTTTTGGGAAAGATTTTTGGAACAAGGAATTGGGCGCCAATTTGATTTATTTCATTCCAACTTCTTTTTTGTGGCCAAAATTTTGGGCTAGGGTGCCATGTTACATTTGGGTTCAAATGTTCAATTGTAGTGTAGTACTTTTAAATAAACTATTCAATATTTCCATCTCTTTATCCCATCTCATACTCTCATGTAATGTTGTAGAGTATTTCGTATCGTATTAGAAAAGCTGACATTAAATTACAACTGTTAATGTACATAAGGAAATAATAATACTCCGTATCAAGATAAAATTAAATACCTCTCTTCCTTTTTCTCTACAAAACCCTAGCCTCCATTGTTGAATTAAATACCTCTTTTCCTTTCTCTCTCCAAAACCGTATCAAGATAAAATTAATTCTCAATCCTTGTTTCTTTATTGTTTTTTTAGGTTTATAATAATGCTTTCTCCTTTTGGGAGGAACTTTTCTCCCTCGAATAAAAGGGTTTCCGATCTCCTTCGAAAGACAAGGGTTTTTCGACCTCCTTCGAAAGACAAGAAAGACAAGGTTTATCTCTTCTTTTCGAGGGAAAAATTTCTTAGTTTTGAATCCATGGTAGCAGATCTAATGGATTGTCGTGAAATTATTTCGTTGGTGAAAAAGTTATCAAGTTTTCGAATACGAACAAATGAATCAGAAGGAAAACATCCTCACGGCTACAAAGGATTGTTAGATTGTCTCTCCAACAAGGCTGTAATTTTCAGCGATATAAGCGGGAGATGCTCCGCAGTGCAAGATCTACTTGACGATCGTAGTTTTTATGAAGGAAAATTCTATTTGATTCAATATTTTATGTATTTGTTAACACCGAATGAAATATTTTTGCTATTCAAAAAAAAAAATACAAGTGTCAATAAACATATTCAACTATCACTAGTTAAATTTGAGAACCAACTTTTTTTGTTCTATCAAAACTTTATAGGTTTTCATAATGACATCTAAACCAAATTTAAACCAGCCTAACGAAACAGCCACTAAGCAACAAAAGCAATAACGAGGGTAAATATAGAGCTGTTAATTAAGGTAAACGGGTCGGGTCAATTCGGATTAATTTCATAACCTATGCGGGTCGGGTTTGGGTTGGGTCATGCTTTAGTCGGATCATGTCGGATCATACTTCTTATTGGGTTTGGGTCGGGTTTAGGTCGGATTACATTCGGGTCGGGTGAACAATAGGTCGGGTTTAATTCGGGTTTTCACGGGTTAAAACGGGTTAGGGTAATTCTCAGGTTCGAGTCGGGTTCGGTTCAAGTCAATAATTTGCGGATTAGAATCAGATTGGGTCATTCTCGGGTTTTAGTCGGGTTCGGTTCAAGTCAATAATTTGAGGATTATAACCAGGTCGGGCCATTCTCGGGTTCAAGTCGGGTTCGGTTTAAGTCAATAATTTTCGGGTTATAATCAGGTTGGGTCATTCTTGGATTCAAGTCGGGTTATGTTCAAGTCAATAATTTGCAGGTTACAATCGATCAGGTCATTTCTAAGTCAGGTCATATTCAGGTTTAACTAACTACAAATAGATAATTATCATTTTTATGAAGCTAATTATTTCCTTAAACTATAACATATATGACAATATACTAGGGAACTATAGTCTATGATTCAGGAAGACAATTGTCTCCTTTGACCATCCAAGTATACAGGAAATATATACTATATTTAACTCTTAAATTTGAGGATGATGCTCCTTTCTTTTGCTGGCCTGGACCAACTTGGTCTTCCTAGACAAAATGCTTTGATCAACAATAATAAGGTGGTCTAAATTGCATTTAAGGTGATTTGAAATCGGATCAGGAACCATTTGGGTTGAATTTAGATCGGGTTGATTTTTGGGTCGAGTAAGTAACAGGTCTGGTAAAATTCAGGTCAGGTCAATAACAAGTAGGGTTGAATTTAGGTCAGGTTAATAACAAGTCGGGTTAATTTTGGGTCAGGTTTGTAACAGGTTAGGTTAAATTCGAGTCGGGTTAAGAATGAGTCGGGCTGAATAAAGGTCAGGTGATGAGTCTATTTTATATATATTTTTATTCCCCGTCCCATGGTCGTATTTGTGCTAATTTGAGTTCTACGGAGCTATTTTTGTTACTAAAACACATTTTATAGTGTTTTTGTAGAGTTGGTATTATTTTGTAGGAATTTGCAGATTTATGACAATTTCCGAGTTTATTGAGCCACTATGAAAATATTAGAGTCGGATCGTATTTTATGACTATATATATTAAGCCCAAGGCCGAATTGGAGAATTTTAATTCGGTGAATAAGGGCTCAATATATGAGAAGGTACAAGATTCCACAAATTATTATGGACTAACCAAGGGGAAAATTGGGCCAAAGATTTAAATAACTCAGGCGTACAGATTTAAAAATTGGTACATGTTGTTTAAATTCCTTTAGAGTTTTAAGGTGAGTGGGATTTGTGGGTTTCGTTCATTAGTGGGCTTTGTTTGTAGTTAAGTCGGTGGGTTTGATATAAATAAGAGTAGTAGTAGTATGTAAGGGAGGAGGTCAGGAGGTAGATTATGTAGTTTTAGTTTTTATTTTCTTTTAGTTTTAGTTTTAGTTTTTTTCTTTTCTTTTTTTCTATCTCTAATTTTTCTCTCTCTCCCTTAATTAAATTCTTAGTATTATTTTCTCTCTTGTTTCTATCTCTACAACTCTTGGTTTAATTTCAGTTATTTATTTTCTTTCTTTCATCATGTCTCCTTCAATTACTTTGTTTATTTTATATTTAATTATGTGTGAGTAATTTCATTCTAGGGTTATGGGGATCCATAATTAATATGAAGGGGTAAATTATTGTTGTTGTTATCAATGCTAGATTAATTTCCTATTGATTGATTGAATGCTCTGTGACTAGATTAGGCCTATCTTTTATGCATGAGTTTGACAATATTGATTCAAGAATCGAGAGATGAGAATTAATGTTTAGGTATAGCTTCAATAGGCAAGTTAATTTATAAATGGTTAAGTCAATATTCGAGAGATGAGATTTAATACCGGTAAATTAATTGTGTGATTGTAATATGTAGCGAGAGCCCTTTACAATCTGGTTAATTGATGCATTGATGATTGACTATTATTGATTATTGGTATTGCATGATAATTTCTTATTGGATTGTTTTAATGTTTTACAATTGCGGCTTGTAAAAGTATAGCAATATTAAATTGATGAATCGAGCAGATGTTAATTTGATATTAAAGGCTATTTTCAATAAGAACTTAGATCTAGTAAATTGCGAGAGCCTGTTAGATCTATGTTGATTAATAAATTGCGAGAGCCTGTTAATCATGTTATTTATGCTATGTCAATGATTGATTACTATGTTTTACCCTGGAGTATTATTTATTGGTGAACCTATGCCTTAGATCCTTTCATATATTATTTTCTTCTTATTCTCAACCTTAGTAGTTTAGTTTCTTACTTAATTATAAATATTGGTTACTTAAATAATTTAGATTATATTAATTAATTAGGAGTAAAAAGATTTGTTTCCCTGTGGAGATCGACCATATCTCCCTATCTACTTTAGTTAGAGGACCTAGGAATTATTTTTGATTAGGGGATGACTTTACCCTGTCATCAGGTTAGTAACAAGTCAGGTTAAATTCTGGTTTTGACGGGTTAAAACGGGTTAGGGTCAATTTCGATTCAAGTCGGGTTCGGTGCAAGTTAATTAAATTGGTCGTTGTAAACCGATAAATCGGTGCAAGTTGTAACCGGTAAATTGGTCGTTTAACAACAAATTGGATGGTTCCACACACCCAATTGGACTCCCGTAGGGTATTAAGGACCATGGTAAACATTTTGACAATTTTTATTTTCGGGCAAAAAAAAGTCAAAAAAATTCCAAAATTGAAGGCTAATATCTACGTTTTTTGAGAAATTTTGGAGGTTTCGGGGCCCGGTGTCGAAAAACCTTAAGATTTTAGGGAATACATCTCGGGGTCATATAATGACGTTTGGAACCATATGTGATCACTATATGTTGTCATAAATGTTCGTGGTAGGCTTGATTTAATTAAATCAGTGCAAATTATAAACCGGTAAATAGGTCGTTTAAAGGCAAATTGGATGGTTGCACCCACCCAATTGGAATCTCGGAATGTATTAGTGACCATGATAAACATTTCTGCATATTTATTTTCGGAAGAAAAAAAGTCAAAAACTTCCAAAATTGAAGGCTAATATCCACGATTTTTGAAAATTTTTGAAGGTTTCGAGGACCAGTGTAGAAAAGTATTGATATTTTAGGGAATACATCTCGGGGTCATATAATGACGTTCGGAACCCTATATGATTATTATATGTTGTCATAACTGTTCGTAGTATGCTTGAGTTAATGAAATCCGTGTAAATTGTACCGGTGTCGTTTAAAGGCAAATTGGATGGTTCCAACAACCCAATTAGACTCTCGGAGGATATTAGGGACCATGGTAAACATTTCGGCAATTTTTAATTCCGGGCGAAAAAAAGTCAAAAAATTCCAAAATTGAAGACTAATATCCACGTTTTTTGAGAAATTTTGGAGGTTTTGGGGCCCGGTGTCGAAAAGTCTTGAAATTTTAAGGGATATATCTCGGGGTCATATAATGCCGTTTGGAACCTTATATGATAAATATTTGTTGTCATAAATGTTCGTGGTAGGCAAATTGGATGGTTTCACCCACCGGTAAATTGGTCGTTTAAAGGCAAATTGGACGGTTCCATCCACCCAATGGGACTCCTGGACAGTATTAGGGATCGTGGTAAATATTTCGGCGATTTTTATTTCTGGGCGAAAAAAAGTCAAAATTACAAAATTGAAGGCTAATATCCACGTTTTTTGAGAAATTTTGGAGTTTTCGAAGCCAAGTGTCGAAAAGTATTGAAATTTTAGAGAATACATCTTGGGGTCATATAATGTCTTTCGGAACTATATATGATCATTATTTGTTGTCATAAATGTTCGTGGTAGACTTGAATTAATGAAATCGGTTCAAGTTGTAAACCAGTAAATTGGTCGTTTAAAGGCAAATAGGATGGTTCCACCCAGCCAATTGGACTCTCGGAGGG